TTAAAATACAGACCACTCTGGTGATTTTCTTCATTTTCCTGCCCTGCGGTTTTTTTCACATGCAGAACGAAGACAAACATCTCTTATCTCTTAAATAGGACACGTAAAATCCCCAGAATAGCTGTGGCACAAAGGGCTGATTTAGTGTGAGCTGCTGGGCTGCCACCGCTGCTGTCACTTGGGAGAAGCCATAGACCCAACAGGAAAGAGGGGGCCAGACACAGCACCGAGGCCGCAGCCCCGGAGGACACCCCAGAGGAGGCATCCCCAGTCTTCTACTGAGGAAGGGTTACTTCCCATTTCTCTGAAGCCCTGGACCACTTTGCGGAATGAGGGGGCAGTGTGGCCCCGACAAGTTCTGTTATTAGAAGTGAGGAGAGACCATCGGTGCTGGCCGTACTTCCCTGAGTGCTGGGGACAGAGAGAGTCAGGGGACAGGAGAGTGACAACAGCAGCTGGCTTGGAAGCCTCCCAGGATGGGCAGAGAGGTCTAGACACTGGCGTCCCGCTCCCGGATGACTGGCACGGAAGGGATCTGGGGAACATCCACGAAAGGGTGTCCCCACTGCTCTGCTGAAAGCCACCGGAATCAGTTCTACCAACACTGGGGGGACCCCGCAGGGAGACCCCAACACCCCTCACGGCTGTTTTTCAACTTGTGGGGCCCTGTATAGTCCTGTGTCCTAGTGTTTGAAAATGTGTTGTTCCCCCCCACCCCCCCAAAAAATCAACATAATGCCTTTAAGACAAGTCTGCGTCGCAAGGGTTCACATGCAGACTATCACTCAGCCAGAGCTAGCTATGTCAAGTTACAGTTCAACAAGGGTCATTTTGAATCACTAACAAAACCTAGTTAATAACTTGTCTCTGGACATATTTATGATCTAAATTTTTCGGGATAAATGAAAGAATTTGAAACTTCTCTATTAAAAAGTAGACGAGACGGACACGCCTTGATGTGATCATGCCAGCCCCGGCCCAAACTTCACGGACACTTCTGGATCAGACGGTCGTTCCAGAATAAACCGATATTCTGAAAAATGCGAAGACCTCTTGAATGAGGTCCCGACATCTGTTCCTTCCCAGTCGTCTAGCGAACGAGCTGTGAGCATCTGCAGCTCACCCCTCTACCTCGTCCCCACCCGTGATTATAGAAATGGCCGGGTCCAGCTCAGCGTGGGCCACTGGGCGCCAACATCCTGGAGGCTTCTGAGAAACGGTCTAAGGAGAGAGAGGGCCACGTAAAGCCAGCACCTGCTGTCCCCATGGACACACCCATAAGCCAGAGAGCACAGCGGCTCCAACCTCTCCGATGGTCACCCTGGTACCAGGCCCCCCACTGGCACGTCGCTGCGGGTAGCAGAACCACAAGGCAGGAAGAAGCTGGATCTTTGTGACCTACTTCTAGACGCGCCCTTCGATGAACTAGCAAGTTTCCTTATCATTTAAGTGAATTTTACATCTGTGCCCTAAAGCATCCTAGTTTACAAATTTTATTTTTTGTGTCTATTACTACATCCATGTCCCTTTAAATGTTAGTACAAAAAAAAAAAATGCACCCGCTTTAAACAAACAGATATTTATCAGACTCTGATATAAATAGGTTTTATGGACAGTTCAATAGGAATGTCATAATAACTTCCTTTAATAATTTCTGGACATTTTCCCCTTTAAGATTACTATTAAACATTTAGAAACATCAAACTCTCAATTCGACATAAAATTGGAGTTATATGGTAGCATTTCCTTTCTAGAGCACAAAAAATATACAACTTGTTAGATCCTAAAATATTAGTCAAATTCATACTATTTAAGTCGCAATCAAAAGAAGAGTTAACAACACTTTACTTGGTCGAATTTGGCTTTTCAGAAATCTTTAGAATTTGCTGCCAATTAGCCATGTTAATGCAATGCGTGAGTAGCCAGGGTTCGCTGAAACTTTTAACGGAGCCGAAAGTGTTTAATTTTAACCACGTTTTTGTATTTCCATCTTCGCCGTGCTGGATGAACAGGTCCGGTACAAATGATGATGTTTCTAATAAGTAGTGATTTAAACAATAACAGCTAAGGGGCCAAAAGATAATAAAAAGCGGCCAAAAGCAGGGGGAAAAAAACAAACAAACTGGAATAACTAGTTTCTGAAAAAATGGGAAAAGGAGGGAGGAAGGAATAAAGCACTCAATCTCTCTGGAAAGATCGCAGCTCTGTGACACAGGCACACGTGGGGCGCTACAGAAGCAGGTCCCTCTTTCCATCGAGACCATGTCAGCAGCACTTACAATTACGGCGGCTGTCCCTGGCTCTTGGGGATGGCTCCAGGGTGCCAATGCGGCTGTCCCCTCCCTCGTGTGACCCCCACCCCCATCCAGGCTCCAGCCCGGGCCCGCCACCCTGGAGCCACCATGCCATCCCACTTCGAAAGCCACGAGTGTGACTTCCCAGTGGTCACTGCACGGATCACCAGCAAGACCGTGAGGGTCCCCCGACAGCCGCCTGGGACATTTGCTCAAAGCCAGGGCCTCTGAACTTGAACCCCACTCACCTCCCAAAGTCCCAGTGAGTGCTGGAGGAGGTGACAGTATTGTAAAGAGGTTTATGAGTCTGAATGAGGGGACCGGAGGGAGGACCGAGGCAGCGTGGAGCACTCCGCTCTGCTGCCTCAGAGGTGTCTGGGGAGAGTGGCTGCCGGCCTCACGCCTCGGCAATGGGCACCTCGCCTCTTCCCCACCGGCCAAGCCCCCCTCCATCTGTGCTTGTTGCTGCCGCTGGAGGCCACTTCCTTTGACTGCAGTCCCTGGGCCTCCAATTGTCAGGATTTGGGGTGCTGGTTAGATTCTCCACTTTTTTCATTGTGATAGTTGGAGCAGTAGAAACATTTTTGTCTGAGCTAATTGCTTTTGTATTGGGACACTTCAAAAAGCAACAAAGTCACCTCCGGGTACAAAGTTGTAAACATTGTTTCCAAGAAAACAGATTCTTGTTACGACTTTTTTTTTTTTTTTTTTGCTTTCTTTGTATTTTAATGTAACCATTCTTACCACATAGAGAAACAGCTTCTAATTAAGGACCTCAAAACTGAAGCTGGACTCTCCTTAGGTGGAGCATCACCCAAGGCCCACACTCAGCGGTGACATCAGACTCGTAAGGAGACTGCATGGCTGACGCTGGGACACTTTATTGACTTGAATAACTGACTACTGGTAACTCTCACAAATGCACTGTTTTTCCTCGTAATAATCACGTGTGCTTGCTCACTTTAGATCCTGTTTCTTACTGATACATAGGAAAAGACGAAAAATAGACCTGTGTAGTTATGAATTTCAGACGTATGTCTGTAGACCAACAGAAATTAATGGTACATCCATGGCAACAAACAGTACGATTGAAAGTAATTACGAGCTCTTTCTCTGGGTATCATTAGCGGTTGACCCAGAGGAGATGAATGATGCTTTCCTTCAGTCGAGAAGGTTAAAAATTAGAGCGAACTTTTCAGCCAAAGCGGTTCATTCTCCAACATAGGAATTATTTAAATTGAAGTAATGCGGCCTCTGCTGTGTAGCTACCATGTGATAAAGTGCTACTTCTGACCACAGTAAAAAAGATGGAATATTGTTAAACTTAATTTTAAAAAAGAAATGTGATTACTCTGCGGTGTGTTTTAAACAGTCAAAAGACTTTGCTCTTAGGAGGGAAAATATAAAAATAAAAAATTAAAACTATAGAGAAATCGTGTTTTCCAAAGGAATCAGGCTTGTTTTACAAACACATCAGGTGAGTATGACTGTGCACACTTTCCCTAACGTCATGGTGGGTATTTGGAAGATTGATTTATTTCAGAATACAGAGTAGATTTAAATTGGCACTGAAAAAAAAAAAATGCATGGGCTTGAGTCTTCAAAGAGAACTTGCTGGGCCTGAAAAGTATGTAAATGGACACAGTGTAGTCCGCACAGGACAACAAATGAGAGCATTTCGAATCAGAAAAAGCTCCCTACAACCTACGACCGGCCCTTGCCCTCGCCAGGGAGAAACCTGAACGCTGCTGCTGTCCCTGCGGGCCACAGCGCAGCAAGCTGGGGGCGGTGGGACTGTGTGTGACCTCCCCTCTACAGTTAGCCATGCCCATTTAGCCCCAGCTGGGCTGGGCGCCCCTATATTCAGCTGTGCAGCTCCAAATCACCTAAGAGCGTGTAATCGCTGGCCCGTTTCATGGAGCTCAGAGTGTCAGCCGACCAAGCCTTCCACACGGGCCACCAAGCCTTCCACACGGGCCACGAGCCCCCACAGACTCCCACACTTAATCGGCAGGCTCTCTCGGGTCTAAGGACGCTGCTAGGAAAATCACACACTGGAGACGGAGCCAGAAAACACATCGCACAGGGCACACTGACAAGAGACGAGAGAGCCATTGTTCCTTCCCACCACCCGTCCCCAACACACACACACACACACACACACACACACACACACGCCCAAAGGGGGAAAACTGAGAAAAACCACGATATCAAAGTGTTCTCATCTTTTCAGGAAGTTCCATGGAACCGAAGGCTGAAACCCTTCCAAGGAATGTCACACGGCTGTCTACCTGTCGCTGGACGCCCTGTGCCGCTGGAGCACAGCCAGCAGAAGGGGCCGTTCCGGAAGCGCCGGAAGGGGATTGCCGTGGCGCCGGTGGCTCTACTGGCAGGACTGTCACTGGTGTTTAAAAAAGGAGCTAAATGTGCAAAGACGAAGGACGAGAATGAAAAGGCGTGCCCTCGGGCCCCCACTGCCTCAGCGGATGGTGAGGCTGAGCTGTAAGTTGCATGTGCAACCTGCTCCTGAAATTTACGCCGCAGAGCGAATGCCCACGGCAAAGACCAGCATCACCTTCATGACCAGCAATCCGAGGTACCGGATGCAGGACACAGAAGGTTCCCGACACTGTCACGTTGCAGCGGTCCACATCATAAACACGTGTTTGGACCCACTCGTTTGAGGAATTAACGAAACGCACATACCTTCGTTTTCAGTGGCATGACATCTGACTTTCAATACCAACTCAAAGGTTCTTTCTGGATTTTCCCTAAACGAAAAAGAACTGTGTTATATTTATATTTAACGTCCTATGACAAATAAATAACAGACGGTATTTTCTTAACTCTAAAAACTAATTTTGTTCTTGTCTCAATATAGGCCATGTAAATAAATGACCACGATGTAGCAGAAATAAAGTTCTTTTTTGTTTGTTTGTTTTTCGTTTTCCCAGATGAGCAGCTTAAGAGAGCGGAGGCTCGGGACTTGAGATTTGGGGCAAAACATTCAATCTCTGAGCCTGTTTTTTTTCACCTCGAAAGTGCTTGTTCACGTCACAGAATAATTGTGGGTTTTATCAATTAAATAATACGCGTGGAAGTACTTTGTAGAGTCTTAAGTGCTGTTTTAATGTAAAGCACTGCCTTTATCTTATTGAATGGAAGTTGGAAGGCCAGTGTGTCCTAAGCATCTCTAGCTTTTCCGGCCTGCAGAGTTTGACAACAGGTTCCGGGGGCTTTCTTCAAAGCTCTGTCAATTTAAGTGTGAATCATGGCTACCTGGTCCCACCTGATGGCCCTGTTCCTGACCACCGTGAAACATTCGTAATGCTCCTTAAATGTGCTCCGCGTAACTTTTCTTGAGATGTGACCACTCTACTTAAGCATGTTTCAAGCAGCAAAAGACTCCAAGGCTGACACAAAAAGTCTTGCTTTATGTCAATTACCGGGGGAAGTTCGCCAACGGCTCAATATTAGATCATTTCACTGGGGACAGTAAGGCTGCTTTGCTTCATTCAGAAATGAGCAACTTCTTCACTAACTTCTCACACACCCAAACTATTCATTGCTTTAATTTCCAAAAGCGGATTAAACTCTATTGAGGCACTTTTCTTTTTCAAAACATAGTTCCCTTTTCATCTCTTTCTGCCCGAAGATAAAAGATTAAAGTCTGTCACCACAATGCCCACGTGACCAAAGTGTTAATATATTTCAGTTTTTCCTGGTAAGAACATCTCAGGGTCTTTGCACGGTGGCTGTTTTTAACATACACTTCCTTCAAGGCAGCACTGCCAGTTTGGGCTTCTAAATAAATATTCTTTTTAAAAATTTTTTAATACAACAATCTAGAAGCATAGGAAGTGACAAGCCGTATAAATTAATTTGCAAGAGGACCTTTCTTGGGCCATAGCACAACTGCCTTGTTTCAATGGACTCAAGGGACCTCTCTGATAATCTAGCTAATGCCAAAAACTACACTTTGGGGGTCAAGTACCCCGCCCCCCCTCCCCCCACCTCATAACGTCAAACGCCACAGGAAATCATCGGAAGTTACAGACTTCTCCTATTTTCCTAATATTTCTTAGTTTCTCTCCTCGGTGCAAAAATCAACTACTGATTCGGTTACAGTGAGGAATTTAAAGTGCATTTCCCAGTCACACACACACACACACGCTGGGCGTATTTTTCGAGTGGGGGGTGGCGAGATGGGGGGGTGAGAAATGGGGGGAAAGGAAGGAAGAAGGATTTCTTCGCCAAGTGAGTTTCAGGAGCAAAACAGAAAACTGAAAACACGCCCCCCGCTCCGATGCGAGCCGCCTGTGACCCCGTGAAGGTCCCCGGGACCCCGGCCCGCGGCTGGAGCG